AGTTTCAAAGCCAGTAAAAAGTGTGATACAAACTTTTGACTGAAGTGTGTTGTCAAAGGAAAGCATTGTTGAAAATAACTCACCGGACATTGGTTGGATTGAAGGTAATGAAGGAGGTGCACTGTTCAGCAGCACGTTGGTCCAAAAAGCCTTAGAACTGCAATTCAACAGTACAACAGAACAAGGATAATGCAGGCAGTAACGCGGATGCTGCATTTTGCATAGCAGGTCATGTGAAAGTTTACAGAATGTCCATAACTGGTTCGGTAAATAGAGGAGAGTAAACACTCCAAGTACTCCCTTCGATAGAGCTCTAGCACAAGCACTCTTCTTTGCATTCCCTTTATGATTAATGCCAAGAAAAGTGTCCTTATCATTCAATGCAATGAAAGCAAACGGTCCGAGACTGCCTTCGAAAAATGGGATTTCAGCGTTATCATTATCAAGATTATTTCGGAGACCTGAAAACGTTGTGTTTCCACCTTACTTAATGATGTTACTTCACCAAAATATAAACAATCAGTTTGCTCCCTTAGGGACAAGCAGATGACAGACAGGTAGAGGGAATGTTAGTGGCCTTCAGTTCTCAAAGATGCGTACGGTTCCCAATGGATTCACACCATCCAGGGCGGTATAAAAGGCTTCACCTCCTGGCAGCCGCTCCAAGACTATGGGAAGGCCAATGCGGGAAAAAGGTGATTTAGAGAGAACCTTTGTGGGCACAACGTAGGTGGATTGTGCTGTTTTTTCGACAATTGGGTTGGTGAATGTTTGTGTAAATTAAACCTGGTTCGACGTCACCTTTCATCTACCCACATTTTACTATTTAAGACGCTTATCAACCATTAAATGAGATTATCTTTTGCTATTATCGTACATAATGTGATAGCGTCCGTTCACGAGGTTTCAAAGTACATTTTTTGGTTAAAAAGAGAAGTAAGACACATTTGGAGTCATGTGCCAGGCGAAAGGTATCTCTGCGAACGAAGACCTTTCTACCTGAGGGGTACATTGTAAGCTTTGCTGTCCTCACAATCGAACTGCATTTTTGGAGAGAAGAGTTGACAGAGCGATCGGTTGTTGTTACAAAAGGTTGCTGTTAATTGCGTGCGAGGGCGAGGACCTCAGGCCAGTTATATAAAGAAACCTCTCAGAGACGGCGCATGAAGAGACACAGGCTTCAGGGGAAGCACCAAAAGGGCAGAAGTGGTGGGAAGATTGGGAGACTGGAATTAGCAAGTAGGGACAAGTGGGAACACACGATATCGCTGCTTCCTCCGACAGTCAGAAAAGACTCACGAATTTCTCATTACTTTAAGCTCTTTTACTGTATCTAATTACTTCCTTTCAATCATCGTTGTTATTTGTTTTACAAATGTTTTCGCAGCAAGAAGTGATCCTGTAAAATGACTACCTGAATACATTCCTTCAAATCGTATGGATTACTAAACCTTTTGATTGAAATTTCAGGCTTGATAAAAGTGATCCGGTCAGCTATGCACTGCTTAAAAGCCATACTTTTAACATCAGACTGACACTCAGACAATTTCATTGCAGCCACAATTTAACAATCCTCGTTTCTAATTGGTCCCCAGCCTCCACCAATGAGGCTGCGCCACTGTCTAGAATAAAAGCAGCGATGCCATTGCAGTTCACATACACCACTGCGTTCCTTGTGGGTGCGGTGTCGGAGTGTGTTCTATCGCCGTGGGCCCTGGTACGAAAGAGGCGCAAACACAACATGCTGGTTTCCGTACTGAGTCTTCTCCTGACCTCTGCTTGCCTCATGCCGTCGGTCAGTGAGGCTTACCAGTACAGCAGTAACTTTATCAACCAGGTCACCACCTATCCCAACATCGTCACCGCCAAGAATCGATGTCTGCCAGGCAGAAGTAGTGGCAGTGGTGCCACCCCTCAAACTCTCCTTGTCTGCGACCCCCATGAACTCCTCAGTGTGGATCAATGTAAGCATGTGTTTCACGTCTACGTAATTTAAGCAGCAGTTCCATTTTACAATTTGAAACAAGTAGAAGTAGGTCATATTAAATGTAGCAGTAAGGCTTCGATGTGACCTCAAATCGTTTTATCAATTCTATACCATTTATGTAAGGCATCAAAACGGTCAATGACATGGTACCTTTTGCATTCTTTTCTATCATTTGAAGCTGGTCCTTCATTGTTGCCTCCCAGGGAGGTTCCTTTTCTCAATCAACCCTGATACACTCTTGTGACTTTGATGCGCTCTACTTCATCAAGTTGAGTGCTTTTTTATGTGGATGTCTTTATCCTCTCTACCTCCTTCATACCACTCGCATCCCTTTAAGTGTTTTTAGCGCCTAATCGTTTTCCTCCTCCAGCTCCAGTTTGAAACCCTTCCTAAGCCCAGTTGTTCACAGCAATCGCGGTAAAATCTATTTTAGCAGCCTCATTTGCTTTGCAGACGGCGTCTTTTTATTCAAAACATGGAATATGAATCAATCGTAAGCCTCTAGACCAATTCTTTACACATTCACATCCTCCGTGAAAGCCAAGAGCAACATTATACTTGGACAGGAGATGCAATGTCGGGGTTAGGAGAGGATGAGGCGCTGCTGCCACGGCTCGTAGATCAGTTCATCCAAAGGAAACCCAATAACGCGCCCTCTGAGTGCCCCGTCATCAAAACGAACTGTTAAACAAGCAGCTTATGTATTGCAGCCACATTCCCTCCATGCGCAGGAAGAGTCATTACTTGGAAGAATTTGCATCACTCCACTGCGCTTTAGCTAGAAAAGTTCATTTACTGTTGCAAATCAGGCGTACTGCTCTTTTCTGTCATGCGGTGGATAAAAACTCTTTTGCACAGATTTTGAGCTAATCCGATCATCATCATGCCAACCATTTCTCAAGTCAACAAGCCTACAGACGTAAAGAGGGAAATCTGTCTTGAATTTCATAACTTTTCACCAACATACTCGGCTTGGTGTTGGTGCTTTTTGTTTGTTTGGAAGAGGCGAATCAAAGTGCCTCTTAAAAGTGGAAACCATTTCATCCTCGTTGGCGTCTTCCAAAAAAATGTTAGTCATTAATACACGGAGACTTTGAGCAGGTCTGTGAAATGTTTGTAAGCTTCTAACTCCATGTGATCGTTTGCGCCGTAAAAAACGCCGGTGAATGTGGGTGGTGTGACGCCACACCGTGGTAACGGCGTTTACGTGAGTCAGAGAGCCCACGGCTTTCATACGAAAGGAAAGTTACTTCCAAATTCATAGTCAAGTATCTGACTTTATCAGGTATTCTGGCCAACTGAAAATTTGAAGATTATCAAGTGGGGCATTTGACTTGGACTTAGATCCCTAAACAGTTCCCAGTGGAGTCGGCTTCGGCCCAGACGCAGAGACGAGGCGAGAGACTAATGAGATGGAATACCTTGGCTTAGCCTTGCGTGAATCATTAGGTAATGGTCACCTGAAATAATGCCTTTCCTGGCTGTCGGTAAACATCACAAAATGATGTTGGCAATGGTGTGTGCGTGTATGCTTATGGAGGGCCATTTTCACCGACGTTACCTGTTCCGTTACTGAGGCTAAACAAAATGACCTGCATCTGCGCTAACCCCCTCGCCCCCTCCCGCCTCATTTTGTCTGGCTAGCGGTCACCTGGGTCGCTACAGGAGACACACTTCCGCAACACGGGCTGACATCGCCTGTCTGTGAACCTCTATAAAGTCTTGCAAATGATTGTTGAACAGTCGAAATTTAATGCCTCTCCCCGGACTCACAGTTCGATTAGAATTAATGGCCGAGAAAAATCGGAAATGCACATATTTTTGTGGATTTTTGTCATAATCCAATCTGATTATGA